TTTAAGGATTTGTTTGGTATGGAGAATCTAGGTTTGGTTTTTATCTTGTCGGCTGCCCGGCAGGTACAAATCATTAGAGGAATATAAAATACAAAATCAGTAAAAACAATTCAAAAAAGTACTTATTTATAAGTTCAACCCTCTTCTTTTTTTTCTTTATTTTGGGAAGCTTAGGAGTCCTGGTCTTGGCTCAATCAAAAAGGGCATTTTGTTTTTCCTTCTTCTCTTGGTATTACTTGATACGAATGTTATCTTGGAGTTGAATACGTATATATCCCCATGACTATTATTTGGCAGCTCATTTCTATTGGGAATTTTAGCAAACATCCTATCAATTAAGAATTCAAACCTCTATATATTAAAGATTTTAAGTAAATTTAAAAAATTAATTTTATTGTGTAACTCATTATTTATTAAAAAAAAAAAAAAAAAACCTTCCCTCTTGCATTGAATTATGTGATATCCTCTATACACCCTCCGGTGCCCTCCAGACAGGAACATTGCAACGGAGACGGCAGACCGGACGGCGAGCAAACTATCCACGTTTTCAATATTAAATGGATCGAGTTCATTGTCTCAACTCATCAAAGATAAGGATGTGTCTCGGAAAAGTGCTGTTTGGTTAGTCAGAAAATGAGTAACATGGGGTTCTCCCAAAAGTGCATTCATCCGTTATCAATGCAAGATGTTTGATTCATTGACAACAATAGATTTGTCAACTCTTGATGTTACCTATCTTATAATTTTGTAATAAAATAATAATAATAATGTATTATTATATAATAAATTTTTTAAAATTCAAAAATTTACTTATGATATTATATAATTCTAATCATTTAATAATATATCATAATTATAAATTTATAATCATGTGATATTATAATTATAACATTATCATTTTATAATTAACTCTTTCAAAAAAATGTTTTATAGAGCATATTATACATTAAAAATATAGTTTATTCTATGAATTTATTAAAATATCTTTAATGAAACTAACTCTTATCTTATTTTATTAAAGTTATTTTAGCAATTTTATAAAACGAATTACACTTTTAATATATAGTTTGTCTTGTAAAATATGAATCCCTAACTCTTTTCACACTCAATAGAATGTGTCAATATGTATTTTTTTGTTTAACATGATGTAAATATTACTCTGTCAACCTTAGATGTTTCACTATTGTCTCTTTCAGTAAGTGTTGAAACTCGAAAGGAGGGGGGTGATGGATGATGAGACTGTCATATACACTTAAATCCCAATGTCTCGATCCAATCCAGAGAATAAACTTTCTACATATGGTAGGATGTTGGATTGTGATTTATACATTAATAGGTGATCTATGTATTATGATGATACAATGATTGATGATGGACATCCTAACCACTCACTACTCTACCTCAAATACAGAAAAACACAAGAGACATAGAGGACGGTTCTTGTATCAAAATCGCCTGTCTGCACCCATTGCATTAAAGGGCCTCATGGATTCACATGCAAATGTCCATGTTCTGACAGAGATGTTTGAATTGATGAGCATTGAGCAAAACCCACCTCCAATTGGTGAATTACATAATTCAAGACTGAATTATTAAGAGAAAAAGACATTTTAGTGGTATTCCTTTCATGTAAAAATGGTTTCAATCTGAACAATAGTTTTAGCTGCGTTGAAGCGTCTGTACGTTGACCTTAATTTTTAAAACATAGTTCACTCCCTTTTCGGTCGCCATATAATCTGAGGCAATGGCCTCCAACTTTTTCCATGCTTAATGGGTCTCATTGCCATATTGAGGGGCGCGTCATAGGGGACCATTTTTCGACCGAGAGCATCACATTTAGAGTCAAAAAAGTTAAAAAAACATACATGAAAAAATGGAGTTCAGGTTCAACAACCATAATATATATTAGGGTAAAGCAAATAACAGGGGAAACTCCCTAAATTTCAACTGCTTGTTCTAGATTTGCAGTTGCACATGAAGTGGAGTTCAGGTTATACATATTTATTTGAAAATTGCCACCAGAAAATCACCTAGCAAAACAACCAATGACTATGGCAACCCAACTAATTGAACAGATCAAGTCCATCTCTTTTTCTGGATGTAATAGCATGCTCAGGGAATGGTGCGTTGATACAGAGGCAAAGCTCCCAATGCCTCCCGTTCTTCTCTCTCCTTCTTCACCTGCAAGACAAAGTCAACAAATAGATTTAACAAAATCTCTGGTCCTATGAATTTATTTTCACATTACAGTACTTTCATTTTTATTTGTGACTCATGCTACAAACCATCTCAACTTTGGCTCCTTGCTGCATTAAAAAAAGAAAAAAGAAAAAAAAAGAAAGAGAATAGATATTTGTGATTGACACTTTGATTGCCAAGATGAGCATATAGCTTGAGAGTTTTAGGTTTTGATGTCATTGGTGGTCCCTGACCTTCAAAAACTAACTATTGAGCCCCTAGCCTTTATGAAAACAATCACTTGTCCTTTAGCCTCAAATCACTAAACCCTCCCAGCATTAAACTTAAACAGGTAAGAATGGTACCATTTGATGATCAGACAAACTCAACAGCAAATGTATTCAAAAGCCATTAGCGATTTAGGTCCAAAGGACCATGGGTTGTGAGTAATAAAAGTTGAAGCACAAAAATAAGCGAATAGGGGATGCTAGTACTCAATATATTATTCTAAAAGATTAGAGGAACACTATGCCGCAACCATATGCTTATCAATGCAACAGAATTTCCTGAAAAGATAAATAGCTAAATTATCAACCACTTAGTTGGTAACAAGTAACAACTAATTCCAATGTTAACATGCAGTGAAGAATGAAAATAGATCCATATCCAATGGTTCCAGCCATATCTCAGCCTTTACCAACAAGAGCATACAACGCATCTTGAAAGTAATCTTTGCATACACTGTTTGAAACTACAAGTCCTTGAAAGTCTTGTATACATTCTTTTGACTTCCTCACTTTTCGAATCTATTAGGAGATATTATTATTTTTCAGATGGTTTTAAAAAATAACATTTAGCCTTATGATTACCTATCTTTCTTCTTTTCGTTCTAAAAAAGAATTTTCATGATAATGAAGTTTCCTTATATTTATATCAGTCCTTAAAGACTAAAGTTAGCCATATAACATTTACTTTACAATCCTTATGAATCCATCAGGAACTAGGAATCACGGTATGGCACATTATTAGAAATAACCAATAGAAAAATGAAATAAAAGCGAAGAAAATTCAAAGTAAAACTCCAAACCAATCAATTAGAAAAGAGATACTGTTTCAAAGGACTTACAAGAGCCAGCATCTCTTGCAGGTAGCCCCTGAATGGTGTCTGCTTGGCCTACAAACGAGAGAAAAACATGAGATCTCCAAATAAACTTGAGAAGAGTATCACTCACACAATCTCATTTGTGCAAATACATTTTCCAACATCCTCTTGCAAACAGATAAAATAGGACTAACACACAGAGATTAAATTAGTAAATGTAAATACAGTATCTGAGCTGAAGGAATACAGCTTAATCATATAAAATCAATAAATATGGAATCCGCAATTTCAGCTGAATCTAAGTAAACAAACAGAAAGTTTCCCTGCAAATCACCGATGTCATTTGTGATCATTTCTAAAATTAAACAACAATGCGGAATCTTATTCAATAGCATAACATCACTGAGTTGAATACAGAAATACACAAAAATTTAGGAGACAAATCAAATAAGATAACCTGACTATATTGAAAATTTACATCTCTGAATAGCATTAGATTTTTAATCAGAAGAGAACCTGAAGATCCTCGGGAAGGTACTCGTGCTTCATGGAGAGGTCCATGGCGCGCTTGAGACGCTGGTTGCGCGCATCGACGATCTCCCTGGGAAGCCGATTGAGCGCCTCCTTGATGTCCACATCGTAGTAGGGATCGTACAGATCGTCGTATCGAAGGCCTGTATGGCAAGACCAAATCAAATCAGATGAATCAAAAGATATTATTATGTGTCACAGAAATGGATAGAACAGATTAGGGTTTCAGGAAGGGAAAGGTCACCGTATTTGCGGAGGCGACTGGAGACGGAATTCATGTGCATAGCTGCCAATCGGCTCTTCTTTGGATCCAAAACTGACTTAAAGAACGACATTTTTGGTATTCTCTCTGTGCAGCTCTTGCTCTTCTCTTCCCCGACTTCGATTGCTCCGTTTCTCTGGACGTCGCGGTAGGTCCCCTAAATCATCTGGAAAAATCGGGGGAAAGCTCATTTGCTGACCGCAGACGTTTTCAAAGCGCCTTTCAAGAACGACGTCGTACAGAATTTGGGCTTGATTTTTTTTTTGGTTCATATAGAATTTGGGCTTGATTAGACCCAGTAGAGTTATTCCCTTTGAGCCGAAGTAGAGAATTTTATATGTTTTGCGATATAAATTATATATTATTAAATTAATTAATATATTTTAAATTTTATTTTGTTTTTTCTATATTAGTTACACAACATGAGATAATTTTTTTTTATCTCTTATCGTACCATATCTGTATGTTATATAATTCGAATTCAAAATTTTTTATTTTCAACAAAAAAAAATTACTATTACGCTATTTAAGTTCGTTTACAAATTTTATTTTATTATTAGATATTATAATTATATTATTTTTGTTTTTATTATTGGGGGACAATGCGGAGTGTGTTAACTTTTTATCATCCTTATTGTGTGGTTTTTTGAAGTTAAATCGATTCCAATTTAACTAGCATTAACCAATTCAAAATAACCGATGCTAGCTGGGATAGAAGGGCATAAGAAATTTAAAGCATAAAGAAACTTACATAGTGATAATATGTTCGCACAAAATTTGTCTAAAAAAATATAGTTCTACTCAACAAAAGGAGTAAGAATGAAAGAATACAACAATGTGTGGAAACACCACACCCTTTTTCTTTTGCATGGCAAACATTGTAGAACTCTGCTGCAATCTCTTTACCCTTGCTCTTTTTCTTGGCCGAGTTCCCTCTATATCTCTTTTCCCTCTGCATTTCTTCCTATATTTGATATCTCCTTGACCCATTTCTCACCATTTTCCCTTAGTCAAAAGTGAAAACCTTTCAGATATTCTTGCCTTGGATCATATTGATTCAATGGGCATGGAATATCCTCGATGCTGGTTAATTTGGTCTCACTGGCTTTGGTTGTTGTTTGCCGGATGAACGTGCATATGATGTCCTATTGAAGAATAAGCAAATTTAAAAATCATGTTGGGGTCTATCTTCCTTGAAGCTCAGAGTTGATCTGAACTTCAATTCTCCTCTGTGAGTAGTCATCTCATCTAATATTTCAGCATCATAGAAATCATCTTCATCATCACTGTCAGCCTCCTGTTGTTCTCCATCCTGTTCACAGGTTATCATGCATTTCAATGGAAGAACTTATAGAGAGGAAAGAAGCAGCAGGGAAAGGTTAAAAAGATTTACCATGCGCAGACTGTGGCTTCTTTTTGGGGCACCAGCAATTTCGTCATACTCAGCAGCATCCAGCTCCTGGAGGTAAGCAGGACAGAACACCTTTGGGAGGATGTGCTGTCTTATGCTGATGAGAACGAAGAATGGCAGCGGAAACAGTATTCCAGCTATAGGTATCCATGTCACTCCGAAACATAGCAACAGATAAAAGAATTGCATTATTGTGAACGTCGCAATGACCTTGAAAGGCACCATCTCCACAAACGAAACATGTGCATTTTCAAGAACTCTGCTCAACACCATACCACAAGTAACGAGTGTCAATGGTATTAACCAAACTCTGCTCTATTTTAAGGTTAGATTAGAGGCACATGACTTACTTGTAACGTCGGCTAGGGGTGATTAAGAGCAGTAACATTCTTTCCCAGAATTGGTTACCTGGTAGGCTGTCAATGGCCATGTAGGCAAAGTATCCCCACAATACGGAGGTAGGGATCATTTTAATTATAGGCAGAGCACACACTGATACGCCCACAAGGAATGACTGTAACAGGTTACTCATTCTTTGCTCATTGACTCTAACAGGCAAATGGGGATCGATATGTTTTTCGGGATCAAATTTTTGCTTTCCATCTCCTCCATCATCACTTTTCATTACAGCCTCTTTCAAATTTTCCAACTCCTTATCTACCAAATAATTAGGCTGCAGCAATATCCACATATATTATGCTTAGGAAGTGTCAGCAGAGTTAACTTCATGCATATGTATACATAACAAGATGTGGAAGCAGTGAAAGCATATATTACTTACCGTTGGGGATGCATCCATTTCTATAAACACAGCTTGCATCCTTCCATAGATTTCTGAGCTGCTTGCTTGTTTCAATATGCATTCCTTTGCACTTTTTACCATTTTCTTCCGAATCAGCTGTAACTCGTGAGCCATATATATTGTTTAATAATCCAAACAAGTAGTTTAATTTACACATTTATACCAGCAATTAAGCGAATAGTTATAGAACTATAGCACCCACCTGCGTCTTAAGAACTGCAAGACTCTTTGTGTGCATAGGAGATTGTGGAAGTACTCCATTTGAAGGAGGCAGTCCCAGCAATCCGCAAACCATAGTCTGTAACAAAGATTGAGAAGAAGCATGTAAGCCTAAAAATATAGAGTAGAAAGCATAGGATTGTGAACGAGAAAGAAAAAAAAAGTTTCTTTAGTACCATTATCCCAAGCAACAAAATATCGTAATGATAAGCAGATGGCTTTTTCAGGTTAAACTCCTTTTGTTGTGCCAACTGTGAAGCAACACTGTGATCAAAGAAGTATAGACCTGCTATCATCACTGCTGGCACAATGGCAGCAAAGACATATTCCAGCGGAACTTTTCCCATATCCTGTTAAAGAGACAAGATTAAGGACAAGATCAATCAATCTTGATTTTTTTGACGAGGAATTTTAACCTTACTTGGTAAAGTTTGAACATTTGTTGCTGCCTAATCACCATTTTAGTCTTTTTAGAGAAACATTATTGTTGTTAATCCGTAAGCAAGATCAGCGGATGCTAACCAAGAGGCCTTTTGATCCTCAATTTAAAATGCCTACCATTCTAGGATATTAAAGGTAGAGAGAATGCAAAGTTATGAGAAGACATAAGATACCTTGACCACCATCCAATGATATACTGATTTAGGATCCCAGGGAAGTGGAGAGACCAGCCTCCTTGGAACTGTAGAAGGAGCTTTGCGGGGTACAGTGTAGGACAATGCTGTCCAGAACAAGACCATCAGGGGGACACCATAGTCAGCAGAAAAAGCTCGGAGCCATCCTGAAACCAATGCCATTAAAGGAAAAAACAGAAAACTTTGTAAATTACATTGGTGCAAAGAATTTGTACTAAAATGATCAGAGCAGGATCACAGTCAATTCACCTGTGCCATATCTCCATGATCTTGCGTTTCTGGTCTTTAGGGCAGTCAATAGCACACCAAATGCGAAAATGATTGCAAGCAATCCATTTGTGTACAGCCAAGGAAATTGAAGCTCCTCCAATTTATTATCTTCACCTTTGGGAATACTGAACTCACTGACCAATCCCTATATTCAAGCATTATCAAGGTAAAACAACAGCATTCTTTCTGTCATCATAGACCATGCTTTTCTGTTTTTATTCTTTCTTTTTCCTTTTTGTAAACTAGTCAGTACCTTTATGGCTTCTTGAATGAAAAGAACAGTGATCAACATGCCAAACAGTTCTCCTGCAACCCTTGTAAATCTAGAGATGATGTTGCAAGCATTAAATATGGCAAGAAGACAAAGCAGTAGTGATGTCCATACGCAGACCCTAAAGGAATATTGGAGTTAAACAATATGAACATCTCTTCCAAATCAACATCTCTTAAAGCACTAAATAATCATAAAACAAAAAATGGAGGAAACTACTTCCATTACCATGCAGACCAAGCTAAATAGAGTTTCTGGCCCAACCCTGGCCTTCCTTGGCTGAAACTGTACAAGTAACTATACATTATAATTGTCGGTTCTGCAACTCCTAAGATTAACAAGGGTTGCCCTCCAAAAACTGAGTGAATTATTCCACAAATAGCTGTGGAAGCTAAAGTTTCAACTGTGCCAAGGGTGCCACCTAAAACAATAATAATAAAAAAAATAAAAGGCTCATTAAAGAGAAGCCTTAAACTCAACAAAGTTTTGAATTAACATCCAGCTAGTATCAACAATTCTTTAATTTAAAAGAGACCAACAAACTCAGCACCTGTTTCTCTGCTCAATTGCTCCCCAAAGGCAATAACAGGAAGAGTAGAAGCAAAGAAGATGTATGTAGTTGGAGCCAATATCCTGACATAGATATAACGGAATTAATATGAATCAAAATCATAAGACCCCACATAAAGAAAATGAAATCTTACCAAAACAAACAAGACCATACCTAATGCCCGAGCAAAGTGCACCGACCCAATCTTCCTTGTAGCATGCACTCCTTCCTTTGACATCTTTAATTATTCCCTTGAACGGTGTTTTCAGGCTTTCCATCGCTAATGTAAGAAGCTGCCTTATTTCATAATAAAGGATTCAATTTTTAAGCAGGAAAATGCAACTTATTTCTATTAGAATAAACTAAAGTATGAGATACATATGATTGCAAATTTATATTCCCTTTGTCTCAAATTATTCATATGTTATATAAAGCATTACTTAAAGTTACATGCAAGTTTAGTTATAATGAGTGATAACTATGGATCCAGATAAAAGTGAAATCCATGTCCAAAACAATTCCTAAATGAATCATAACATTCAAAAAAAGTCATGATTTAGTGATTCTAGAAGACAATTTTAACAGGGAAAATGCAAATAAAAAAATTCATCATTATTATGCAATCTGCATCATTTAGAGCTACTTTTCCAGTAGTTACATAGACCCACAAATGAAAAAGAAAAACGAATCTTGCAACTTGAACAAAACTTTCATTTTGAAGAGCCTCACCACTCAACGTCAAGAATTTTGGCTGTCAATCGTACTATTTTCAAGCCATGCATGCGTGCAAAAGAAAACTAAAAAAAAAAAAAAAAATCTTCAAACAAAAAGAGCCCATCAGTGATGATTACATTGCAGAATCAGTAATGGAGGGGAGAGAAACACAAATGCATGTAAAAAAAAAAGAAAAAGAACAAACCTAGAAGGTCATAGCGAGTTGGAAAAAGGACTCAAAGGCAGTGTATTGTGGGTGTGGGGAGAGTCAGAATTCTCAGAACGTCAGATCCAAGTAAGAGCAGAAAGATAGGAAACGAATATTGTCTCTTTTTTTTCCCAAAGGAGGAAATTGGAATTTAAAAAGGAGAGAACAAATGTCTTCTTTCTATCTTCCTGTCCGATGTTGGACAAGGAGCTGTCGAAGAGCGAGGCAAAGGGGTTTTTGTCTGTTAAAGAAACAGAGCGTCTTTTGTGGGATCCCATGTTGTCTCTCGCCGCCAATTTCGGGCTCTTGCTGACGTGGCAAATTCTGAATGGATCTGGACCCAGTTCCTACTCGCCAGCCCGAAACGATTAGACTTGACTTCTCTTCTTGTTGCATTTCAATTTTCATAACGCTAATTACCTAAATAAAACTTACTCGAATGATCAGTAAAGGACTTTTACCTAGTCTTCAGGAATAAACGGAGTCCGATTAAATATTGATCAGGTAAAATAAATTATTTTAATTCAAATATTTGCATATATATATATATATATATATATATACACACACATAAACCTACTCAGTAAATTCTTGTTAGCTTTCATATGCTCTCTGTTTTCTTCTGATTTTACACAAATTTATATCATGGGGTCTGATATCCAGGAAACCCTTGAAGGAAAATCTTCTCAACATGTCGAAGAAGAGAAATCCACAGAGAAAACATTAAAACGGCGAGACACCATGGATCCCGAATCTCATTGGCAAAGTATTGGGCGTGGCACCAAGGTTTTGTAATCACCTCCTTGCGTTTACTTCTGTTTTCCTTTAACATTTTTTGCATGTTGAATATATAATCATAATGTTTTTTTTTTTTTTTTTTTTAAATTTTTTCTTGGTGTTTTAAAGGCTTTGAGTTTGTCCGTCACCTTGCATCTAGCATTCCAGAGCTTAGGAGTGGTGTATGGAGATATCGGCACATCGCCTCTGTATGTTATTTCCAGCATTTTTGCAAATGGCATCACCCACCATGATGATCTCCTCGGAGTTCTGTCGTTGATCTGGTATACACTCACATTGATCCCTATAGCCAAGTACATGTGCTTTGTCTTATATGCCAACGACAACGGAGAAGGTACGATATCATCAACTAAATCCTGTGCTCTTTTTAATCTTTCTCTATTTTTAAGCCTCCACTGATAAGCAACTATCATTTTGTAAGGCAGGATTTAAGTCTTTCAATGATTAATTAAATCTCCTTGCTACTCTAAATATTCGAATGATTATTCTATCTGTCATACATGAGATGCTAACTCGTAAATATGTATTAAAAATGAAGAAAACAATTGGTATACCATATGATTTATCATACTTTTTTTTGTACTTATATAGTTTAAACATTAAATATAATATGCACTTGACCTTTCAGATTTAGTGATATCAGTCATATTAAATAGTTGCATTCCCTCCCCTTTAAGTGAGTTCGATTCCATCTCATATTAAATTGTTCAAAAAAAAAACATTAAATATAATATAAATATAATTGAATTAATTAATTCTTATCTGTTGTATATATATAATTATATTTCTAAATTTATTTATTTTTAATTTTAAATTAAAAAATAATTAATAATTTTGCAATAAATATAGTGTGCATTATTATGTTGAATTTGAGGACATTTTTAAAATAATTTAAACTGATTATGATTTTTCAGGAGGGACGTTTGCCCTATATTCGCTGATGTGTCGATACGCAAAGGTGAGTTTGCTGCCGAATCAGCAAGAGGAAGATGCCGAAGTCTCCAACTACGGGCTGGAGTTGCCAAACGAGCATCGGCAAAGAAGAGCATGGGCACTCAAGACCATGATGGAGAACAGCAATTCCTTCAAGTATACCTTACTCTTTGCCACATTGCTTGGAACTTCTATGTTAATTGGCGATGGTGTCCTCACACCTTGCATATCAGGTATTTCCTTCATATTCCATAACCAGAAGTACAGAGTACGTACGTAAAAGACCTCTTTATATCAGTTCGTTTGAACTATCATATTTATTAAGACTCCTGGCTTTGAATTTTTTTTCCTTCTCAGTTTTATCAGCTCTGGGAGGCATCAAGGCAGCTACTCCTAAACTCACAGAAGGTACATGAGAGATTATATAAATTGCGAAAAGCGGACTAAAACAAATTTAAGTAGGTACTGAAAACTCTTGATCATTATTAATTTACTTCATATGTACATGCAGATATGATTGTTTGGTTAGCAGCTGTCATCTTGGTCATCCTCTTCATGGGTCAGAAATTTGGTACAGATAAAGTAGGCTACACCTTTGCTCCAATACTGTGCATCTGGTGCTTGCTCATTGGAGGCATTGGCCTCTTCAACTTCATTAAATATGACCCACTAGTCATCAAAGCTATATATCCTAAGTACATTGTGGACTACTTCGGGAGGAATCCAAAAGAAGCATGGATTTCTCTCGGTGGTGTCGTGCTATGCGTAACAGGTTGCAATTTACAAATTTTTTTCACTCCCTTCTACTAGTTGGTATATATGTGTATATATATTTCTTTGATGATGTATTAGCTGGTATATATGATCCAATTTGCTTAGAAATTTGTCGTCGAATGATGCAGGAGTTGAAGCTTTGTTCGCTGATGTTGGCCATTTTAGTGTAAAATCAATACAGATAAGCACCTACTTCCTTGTCTACCCTGCTCTAATCTTAGCCTATGCCGGGCAATGTTCTTACCTTCGGAAGCACCCAGATGATGTTACTGAAGCCTTCTACAAATCTATACCGGGTAATTAATCTTTTTTCCTTAATTCTTCTTTTGGAGTTGTGATGGATGATTGTAAATTTGTAATGATGCATTGCAGGTCCTATCTATTGGCTGATGTTTGTGGTGGCCGTGTTAGCTTCAATCATTGGAAGTCAAGCTCTTATTTCAGGGACTTTCTCAATAATCCAACAGTCCCTCTCAGTTGGGTGTTTCCCCCATGTCAAAGTTGTTCGTACCTCGGACAAGTATGAAGGCCAAGTTTACATTCCTGAAGTCAATTACCTTCTCATGCTGGCTTGTCTTGCAGTCACTTTCGGTTTCAAAACTACTGAACAGATTGGAAATGCATATGGTAATTCTGTTTCCCTATTACGGTTCATAACATTTAATGATTTCAAGATGAGGATTGAAAATGATGTCAGAGTTATTGCGTGTATGCAGGGCTTGCTGTGGTGTTTGTTATGGTCCTCACGACATGTTTCACGGTGTTGGTTATGATACTGATATGGAAATCCAACATATTTTTAATAATTGCTTTTTCTCTTGTGATCGGATCCATTGAGCTGCTCTATTTAAGTTCAGTCCTCTACAAATTCCAGCAAGGAGGATACCTACCGTTGGTCTTTGCAGCATTGATGCTAACTATAATGTTTGTTTGGAATATTGTGTTTCGGAGGAAGTACCATTATGATCTTGAGCACAAGGTTTCATCTGGTTTGCTAACAGACATGGCAGCTAACACACACATTCGTAGATTTCCTGGTCTTGCACTGTTTTACTCTGCTGTTGTTCAGGGAATTCCACCCATATTCAAGCAGTATGTTGACAACATACCTGCATTGCATTCAGTTATCGTTATTGTCTCTGTCAAGTCACTGCCAATCAGCAAGATTCCATTGGAAGAAAGGTTCCTTTTCCAAAGGGTAGAACCAAGAAGCCTCAACATGTTCCGCTGCGTGGTCAGATATGGATACACGGATTTACGTAAGGATGCAGAGCCATTTGAGAAACTGTTAATTGAGAAACTTAGGGAGTTTATCAGGGAAGATTTTCTGTTGTCTCAAAAACCAACCAAAAACGAAGATGAAGATGGGAACCAGATGTGTAAGGAAGAGGATCAAGGAGATAATGTGTTGGAGAGGGAAATGCAGGAATTGGAGCAGGCCTCACAAGCTACTGTTTCTCACTTGATTAACGAGAATGAAGTGGTTGCAAGCAAAGGATCCAATATATGGAATAGGTTATTGATAAATTATGCCTACAATTTTATTGAGAAGAACTCGAGGAAGACTCAGCAAGTGTTTCACATTCCTCACCAGCGCTTGCTTAAGGTTGGAATGACTTATGAGCTTTAAGTCAAGCTTTGCCACCATGTTACATGGATGCTAAGAAGAAGATGATGCATGCATGATGGAATAAATTATTACTTCGTGCATTAAACATGTCTTGGAAAATGGTTGTAATAAGTTGTGTCCTAACCCCAAGGGTTGGATCCACTATTTTCACAATAAGATTGCTATTTAATTAAAATGCTTTCGTTTCTCATCTTCACCTCCTTGTTTCATTAAATAAATCTGACATCAAAACACAACTTACTAGCTTCTACAATAATATAGTTCAGACTACATCCTAATGGAACAACTTACTTAAAATAAACTTGTGTTTCCAACATGATTTACATCACTCCTTAACAATTGAACCAACCCAAGGGGTTACTCAGTGCGGCTCTATATAAAGATTAAACCACTGATACCAGATATGTAATTTCCATTTCCCTCATATTTCCTTGCTTTTCTTTTCTTTCCTCTCTTCTCCAAACAAGATGACAACAGAAAAAATCTCCTAATCTGGTATGATCATAAATGCAAGTAATCTTCTAGATATGGAGGAAATCATACCATCGATATTATTCTTAAATTTGTTAGATTCTATATCTTGGAAAAGCAATGTTGCCTTAATCTAATAGTAATTGCAAATTACAGAGAGTATAGGCAGTGAAATGTGAGTACATAAAATAGTACATTTCCCCAAGCAGCATATCACTCAGAAATCTCTTGGATTCCAGGGCAAAGTTCCAGTCTGTTGTCTGGTATGTTTTCCCCACCTTCTTCTTTTTTTCCTATCTAGTATACCATGTGTTCTTAATTTAACCCCCATAAATGGATCCTATGGAGAACATTAATCCTTTTGCAGGTGAAATGTCAAAGCATCAGCTCCTCCTCCAATGGCCTGCAGTACTCCTGCTCCTCTTGGCTGTCCTCTTCCCTCTATCCCATGCTGAAGTTGGCACTGCCGCCCGTTACACTCCCCCATATATTCATAAGTTTCGTTAGCATACGTCCCACTACCAAACATCATGTCATCATGCTCGTGTATATGTAAGTTTCTTCAGCATCAGGATTTACTGACACTAATGGAAATTCCAGGTTTTGAAAGATTTTGATTCTGAATGCAGCCACTGCATGTTACGGTAATGATCCGTCGCAGCTCCCCTGCGGCAACCCTGCAGCAACCTATTTGGGGCCACCGATACGGGATATGGGACAATGGAGCCGCCTGCGGGAGGCAATACTTGGTAAGATGCATCAGTGCGGCTGTCCCTAGATTTTGCAAACCCGGACAAACAATACAGATTAAGATCGTTGATCAAGCAGAAACTTTGGTGTCCAAACCTTCCAGGGAGGGTGTTTCCATAGTTCTGTCTTCAACCGCATATGGGTTGATTGCAGACGCTTCTGCAGCTTCAGTTAACATTGAATTCAAACAGTAAGTCTAAGCAGTTATGTCCCATCATGTATTGGTCTCATCGACTTCTTTAAGCTGTAAGAGATTTTTTTGATAAGCAGGGTCTGAATTTTGCGATGGAGATTTCTAGAGGAGCAGGTAAACCATTGGAGAAGGGCTCTAAATGTGAGGTGGTACCCTTCCATCTCCATCAATGGTCTGTGCCGGATTGCAAAACCGCTGTCTCTTTTATTAGTCTAGTTCAGTTTTATTCTAAAACTTCAAACGGAAGTCAAACAGATATCTTCGTACTTTTCCATTTTGCATGATCTTTTTAGCAATTGGACTATGAATTAATGGAAGAAATTGAAGAATATTTTTTAAGGTAGCGTTTAATTTTGCAAGCATTCGAGCATTTTAATCAGGGAGTAACACATGGAAATTTTTTTTTTTTTTTTTATAAAAAGAAAACCTGAGAAAATTGGGAAATGGGGAATAATTTACAGAAAATGGGAGACATTTTTGACTAAGAGGAATACTTTTGATTGCGCAAACAAAGAAAGTACAACACTAGAAGACACAAAACGCAGGGATGAACTTCTTGCCCTAGTTTATTACACAACTAGTCTCTAAAGACTGAAACCTGGTTACAACAGCAGAGACAACATTGGATTCTAGATGACTGAAACCTGTGGAACATCCACAGGGAAATGATGGATCTCATCCATCCACGGGTTCTTCTCCTTTGATGGATTTATGGTCCTCAATGCTTTCCAAACTGCACTGTTGCACTTAAAGCCAGAACCGAATGCAATCTGCCATGTTCTATCTCCCTTCTTCATCCTCCCCTTGGCTTCTGTATAAGCCAATTCATACCAAAGAGAGCTACTTGATGTGTTACCAAACCGGTACAGTGTCATTCTTGAGGGCTCCATATGCCAATCTGAAAGCTGCAAGTTCTTCTCTAACTCATCAAGCACAGCTCTTCCCCCTGCATGAATGCAGAAATGCTCAAAAGCTAACTTGAAGTCTGGGATATATGGCTTCACCTTCATCTTGAAGAGTTTCTTCCCAACTAATGTGGCAAAGAAGATTAACTGCTCCGACATGGGTAACACAAGAGGACCGAGGGTAGTGATATTAGTCTTTAGAGCATCCCCAGCAACAGCCATCAGATCCTTTGATAATGAAACTCCAATCCTCCCCGTAGGATCCTCCTGTTGTGTGACACAAGAGAAGCATTTATCGTCAGCGCCTTTATGAGTTCGAACTGTGTGGACTAGCCTGTACTTTGATCTCCACCCATCTGTCCTCTTGTTTGAAAGCAAGATTGCAGCTCCCCCCATACGAAACAAGCAATTTGGAACAAGCATTGATCTCTCATTGCCAAAATACCAATTCAAAGTGATGTTTTCCATGCTAATGACCAAAGCATAGGAGTTAGGATGCACTTGAAGAAGATCCTTGGCAAGATCAATCGATATCAAGCCAGCACTACATCCCATCCCACCTAGATTATAACTAATAACGTTTCCTCTGAGCTTGTAATGGTTAATGATCATTGCAGACAAAGATGGTGTAGGATTAAACAAGCTGCAATTCACTATCAAAATCCCAACATCTTTTGGTTTCAAAGACGTTTTCTCAAAAAGCTGATCAAGAGCACCAAACATCACAGTCTCCGCCTCTTTCTTGGCCTCTGCCATGCAAGGATTAGCAGGAACCCTCAGAACAGCTTCCGGAAGGTAAGTGGACTCCCCAAGACCAGACCTCTCAATAATTTTCCTCTGAAACTCAAGGTTTTCCTGAGTGAAAGTACCGGCCGTCCGAGACCTTTCCAAGAAACCCTGCCTGGTGCATTTCCTAGCATCATCCGGCTTGTAACAAGAGAAATCAACAAGGTAAACGGACCGGGGACGAGTGAGAAAGTAAAGGGTGGAAAGAAAAACAAGAAGGGTGGAGCATAAAATCCCAGATACGAGATTGAAACGAAGATGATCCCAGAGGTCATGGAGATCCTGAACAGAGAATGTCGAGACCTGTGCTGCAATTAGAACAACTAGAGGGGATAAGAAAAGGCACATTCCATGAGTAATTAGGTAATGGTAGCCAAGTTTAACATACTTCAATTTCACAGACTGCTTGAAATCAGGAAGCTTACGGGAAGGGGATTTGGGGATCAAAGGTGTGCTCGGATTGGATTCAGGCATATTGATGAAGAAGAGATTGAAATCAAAAGTTGAAAGTAACAAAGAGAATTACGTGAAACGGTGAAAAGGGGATTAATGTTTTAGATTTAAATTGAGGAAACAGAGGAAATTAAGTTTACTGGGAAAAAAGCACACAAGGAGCAAATTCGGGTCTGTGAGGAAAATGACAAGATATGAAACACAAACTTACGCAGCAGAGAATCAGATAATGCAGCTCAATCCTGCAAGAAGAAGAGATTTCCATTACCAAAAATAAGAAAAGAAAGAAACTTGCAGCATCTATCCATAGAAGAAACATCGAATTTTCCAAACCTAGATGAGATGAGGCCTGAAAACCCAGTTTCCTCTTTGAGAAAAAAAATAAATAAAAAGCCGATGAAATGGAGGTTTCAATGTAAATGCAATGGAATGGATACAGAGCAAAGGAAAAGTAAAACCCAGATGAAAAAAGACTGACCTTTGGTTTGAACGTGAAGAAAGAAGAAGCAGAGATCTCTCTGCTTTTGCCAGAGCCTGAGAAAGAGAAACAAACGGACATGAATGAGAGAGACGGCCGAAGAGAGCTGCGAAGGCCGTGCTTTTCAGTGAGTTTCCGTTTTGTTGCTTGGGTTGAAGACAACAAGTCCCTTAACTTTTCAATTTTGTTCATTTTCACCTCTCTACTTTACCACGTGTTTGCTTGTGGTCCCTGTACCAGGTAAGCAGCTGTCCATTGTTGGATCCAACCCCTTGCGTTGCGCCAGAATCATTTTTAAGTTTTGAGGTTAACACTAAAAACAAAAATTTTTTTAAATATAATAAGTCAATATAAAAAGTATATTTTTAAAATTATAATTAATTTTACTAAACATAAAAAGTACTAGAAACATCTTAATTGTAAATAAAAAAATACGAAAAACCTGTACATTGCAATCCCTACTCTTTGGAGAGGTGCATCTATGCACATTCAGAATTTCAGATATAAGCTTTTATTTTTTTTCAAAAAGCTAAAAATAGTGAGTTACATTACATATTCCTCTACCTTGTCTTCCCCGGCCTACATTCAAATTCAAACCTATGAAGAGGCAGGAAATCATTCAGATATAATTTAAACAAAATAGAACTTAAATTAAATTTAAACATCTTTGCCGATCAAAAAGAAAAAAAACCTTAAATAAGATTTAATTTGGTTCAAGTTCACTTTAATTTAAGTTCATGAACTTGGAAAAAAAAAAACCAAAATTAACTTGAAAAAGACCTTGACGTTTCTGTTTCGAGAAAATGAAATGAGCAGTACAGCTGTTTGGTGTTTTCTGAAAAGAAACGACCCATGCAGCATTGCCGAAGAAAGGAAGTAACTTCGAGAGGATGAGGAACATGAAATCCGGTCCACCCCTCACATGTCATTTGGAACCTAGCATTCTGAATTTTCAATGCTGCCAGTGATGTTAGTGTGGCCATATTCAAGGACGAAATCTTTTGCACTGCCGGGTGTATTGTTGATGTGGTATTCTGTAACACCACAATATCATTGACGTGTGTATTTGCAGTTATTAGAACTTCCACATAATCAGATTCAAAGGTTTCTGAGACGTCATTTTTTAGGCTTGGATACCGCGACAGCAAACCAATCTCATCTACAAGAAACACAAAAGATGAGTACCAGCATGAGAAATGTTGTCAATAAGATACCATGGTACAATTACCTTTAAAAAAAAAAAAAGAAAAAAAAGAGGATATCATACGGAGGAATCAAAATTACAATGTCAACTAGTTCAGTTACCAGAGACCCGGTCCACTAGAGATCACTGTGGAAAGAGAAGAAAAGAACCAACGGACCAGACATAAAATTGGGGGATCTGGGAATTATTTCTTTTATAAAGATAAAATCAGATACTGTATGGAATTAATCATGCCACTTATGATATATATACACCTTAAACTAACCTCTGGATTTTCTGCACCTTGCTAAACAAGCCAATGATGAAACAAAATCTTGAAGGAGCAAAAAGGGATCTTGAACCGTTTCTACTTGAAAACTGCAAGTGCACAAAAAACTAGCAAACTATCGAACTTTCAGCATTGTGATTGATCTCGTCTTTTACAAATGCCAATTCAGAAGCCAAGGCAATATGGTCACTGCCCCATTTCTGAAAAACACAGCCAGAAAAATACACCTTAACCACAAAATGATGCCAAGGTACATCCAACAGGCTACAATAAATAACTTAGCCCCCAAGTAATGTATATAAGATGGAATCTTATGGACAGATGGGTAATTTCAAATGAATAAAAAAGCCTCAGAACATATTATAGAGGTCAATTCATTTTTCATTTTTCATTTTCAAGGATGATTTACCAAAACTATTTAGGTTATCATCACTGCTTTACGGGATCTTTACAACAAAAGCCATACTTGAATTAACTGTATAACTAGAAGAAAGTTGAACTTGAAATGACTATAATACCTTTGTTGGGAACCCAGGTGTCCATTCCATACCATGTTTAGGTATTGGAGCAAGCACCCTTGTGGTTTGGAGACCTTTAGAACGCCTGAACATTAAAATTAAGAAAACATTAGTATATATTTTCATTATCCCTCATATCCAAACTTTAATATTATAATACACAAACACACACACAGTCTGTGTTACTCCATTTTATTTCTTCATATCAAACCTTTGACAAAGAAGGGGAACACAGTCTTCTATACATGTGTAAAACTTCTTCCAGAAGCTAAATTTCACAGGCATGTTAGGCATGTTAGGCATGTTAGGGATAGTAAAGGTAAGTTATAAAGAGCGTCCAAACTAAAACCAAATGACAATAGGAGAGGCCCAAATTATGCATAAGTCCACATTTTTGCCAAACATAACTACTACTGGATCTTCTCAATTAACAGTCAGCAAAATATTACACCGGACATTAAAAGCTAGTCAAGCTGCTTGTTCATTTGAAAACAACCCCCTAACTGGGATGAAGCCCAAGCATATTCAAATCTTAAATGCAGGATAACAAATACTTGCCATATGTAATCAACTGTGCCCATGAAACATCTATTGTAACTGGTAACTAGGGGCTCCCCATTAGAGTCTCTTGTCCCTGAACAATCCTGGAAAATGGAAAACCAAAAACATTCATGAATGACACATTGAGACTGAAATATCTGAGTAGTAAAAATAAACAGTGAACCACCTCTGCTTCTGTATATGTGCTTTTTAGCTGTAGGGGGTGCTCCAAACAAGTGCACTCCTCACTGCCTGTTGCAGTTGCTATTTCCGATGGAGTCCATAATGATGGGTTGTAAGAAGATTTTTCTTCAAAAGGTGAAAAATCATCGAAAACTTCATCACTTGGTGAATTAGGGTGCAAGTTTTGGACACTAGAAATTTCCAAATCTGATTCCTTGCCATGCAGTGCAGTTAAAAATGTGTCTTCATCTTCAGTTATTCTTCTTTCCACCATGGTTTCATCTTCAAGAGACAATTTCCCCACTTTCTCTTCAATGCCAGTGGATAGACCTGAAAAGTCAACTTGACAAGGAATTGACAGCCTACCTTTCTCACTGTTAGCAAGTAGCTCAGATTGCTGACTTGCTGAGATCCCTGGAGGAGAAACTTCTGGGTCAAAAGTTTGCAGGCCCTCTTCATCGGTAGAATGATCACCAGTCACAAGGTTATCAAAGTTTACAGCTTGATTTTCTGCACTAGTATTTGTCTTAGAATTTTCACTAGGGTGAGACAAACTGTTCAGAGAAGGAACATTCTCCACATTTCTGTCTATGTTATTTGGTTCCTGTTTGTGAGAGCAAGAATCATTAATCTCAGTAGCGACCTCCTTGCTACCTATTGTTGGCGGATGCCTTCTTGAACTAGTTGATTCTGGTCTGTGATTTGCAACATTTTCAGTTTGAGCAATCAGAAGCATAAACAAAAACCATCTAATTCTACAGATCGACACTTGGCTTGTGTAAGCCCTACCCTGGGTTAGGATTAAATGGCCTTGGAGGGCGAATATCAGCTGAAGATTGTCCTGATACTTTATCTCTATCCACTCCCAACAAATCTAACTGCATGAGATAATGCAATTGAAAGCTTAACCCATCAGTCATCCTGAAAAGAATGGTCAAAAAAGAAAAAATGGGGAAAAAAAAAAAAAAAGAACACCATAAAA